TATATTCCTCAAGCTAGCTATGCAAAACTTTGAGCAAATTCAATTTTCTAAAATTCTTAATAAGCACATGAACAAACTACTAGTTTACTTCAACCAAAGTTTTCAACATTTTCAACAAGTAATTCATATAAGTAGGCAAAATTACTAGTTTACTTAACAAGGAATGAAATTAATATTCTAATCGATTTGATAATCAATACAATTTTTAAAACTATGAATCAAGCATTTGTTCATCATTCTTCATTCATATTTACCAAAACTGCAAAGGAGAGAATCAGGGGAAGCTCCACACGATTTTCTTCGGAAGCGTATCGGAAGGGCGAGCAGAACCTGTTCGAGTTTTCCAGAAACTTTAGGGAAGATGAAAAACATTCGGGAACTTGATATGAGTGATAGTGGTATATATGACTTACCTTCTTCAATTGGAAATCTTGTTGGGCTTGTAGTTCTGATTCTAACTGGATGCACTACACTACTTGTACTGCGAGTAGTATTTTTATGCTGCCAAAACTCGGGCACTTGGAACGGGGTACCCAGGAGCGAGTGAACGAGAAGCAGCTACACAGCAGAACCTATTCGAATGAAATGGAGCAGTTGGTGACGTGAAGCGTATTTGAGAAGTTAGAAAGTTTTTTATTTTTATTACAATTAATAATATAATAATATATAAATATAATATTAAAATATATATAAATATAAATAATAAATAAATAAATATATAAAAGTTTTGGGGGAGCCATGGCTCCCCCCCTGTCCCTTCAAAGTTTCGCCCCTGGCAGGCATTAACATTGTTGGGGTTGATAGTCAAATAAAGAGATTGAAGTTGATGGAGTTGAAGAAGGAGTTTAAGATAGACAAAGATGATAGTAGAGAGATGTTAAAGAAGGAGATTGAAGTTGACGATGGGGATGATGAGAATTTTTTTTTTGACAAAATAATTATTTACCATTAAAAATAAAATTAATACATTAACAAATGATATGATTGATGAGTTTCACCTCATAATTGTGTGTATTTCATAATCTACGCAAACTTATTTTTATTTAAAAGGTAAGGCTGAAATGATAAAACGAAAACCCCATATATCATTCAGCTTTGGTCATTGTGTGCTGAAAATTTTAGACAAAATTCACTCTCTTTTCACTAGTAGAAAAAGGGTAATTTATGTCACTGTATTCTCGTCGAACAAAGAAAAATCCGACGTTAAAAAAACGTAGTGGCTTTTTTGTAATTATAATCAAGTTTTTTACGTCGGACCTCATAGGGGCCGACGTAAAAAAGAAAATCTACGTCAGATATAGCTTGTGTCTGACGTAGATTTTCCAATTTACGTCAGCCCCTACGAGGTCCGACGTAAAATATCTACAAATTTCAAATTTTTTCGCGCGCGTCAATATTTAAACAAGAGAGCTTTGAGTGTATGTGCAATTCGAGTCTTCTAAGTTAAGATTTCGTTTTAGTGTATTGTATCTGAGTGTACGTTTGCACGTTTGGGTGGTTCTTGAGTTTTTGACCGATTGTATTGGGCTCGCGTTTGAGGTTAGTTTGGAAAATCCTTTCTTAATATATTAGCTAATATGTTGAAAATAAATGTATGTATTGATCTATTAATATATTAGTTAATATTATCCTCTTCTTTGCGTTTGGGTGGATCATCGTTTTTTAATATATTAGTTAATACTAAGTAGAAAATTCTTCGCGTTTGGGTGGATCTCCAAGCAGAACGGCCCGTTCTCCAAGCAGAACGGGCTTGCACGCGTTATGTTTTTTTTTTTTTGGTTTACAACTTTTTTACGTCGGCTCTTGTGAATGTCCGACGTAAATTTACGTTGGCTATCACAACCGACATAAATTTACGTCTTCCGCATTTACGTCGAACCTTTTTTTAACGTAAAAAGCTTAAAATAACCGACGTAAATTATCTTTTTTGTACTAGTATTTAATGAGATTTCCACACATATAAAAAAAATAAAAATAAAAAAGACTTTTACTATGATATCCTCTCTTGAATTTTATGTATTTTTCCATAAAAAAACTTAAACCTTTGGTATTAAAAAAGCTGATTAGCAATTAATATTTTGATATTAAAATGGAATATAAATGTATTATGTTTCAAAGTAAAATAAGGATAAAATTTGAGTTTAAAGGTGATGTATTCACAATGTAAATCTATTTTTACACTGTTAATTAATCATATATGATCATTAGTATAACTTTTTACTTATTTTTAATAAAAGTGAACATCTTATCATAAATAGTTATTTATGAGTGAATAATGGTATAAAATCATTTTACAAGTGCATCACTCATTTTGTCAAAATATATTAGAAAATCAGTGAAATCTAGTCTAATCATTTTTTTAATCATAATTTTTCTTTTCAATTTCCAAGGAATGTGATAGAATGAGAAAATTTGTTCTATTCCATCATAATATATTTAAATAATGGAATAAATGTTTTATTGATTCTTTCATCTTATATATCTCATCAATTCTTTAGATCAAAACCAAACTTGGAATGACGAGTGTTTTTATTGTATTGTTTTACATCACTTTTTTACGACCGATTTATACATAACGTAACTGTCTCTATATAAATTGAAAATGTCTTTTAATTAATGATAGCTTTGTTTTTGCTATTATATATTCATTATCCTAATTCATAAATTATGGTATAAAATAATTTTCCTTGTCCATTTTGTTTCATACTTGGTGTTACCATGTTAGATTCACCGCATTTCTCTCCATTTGCTTGTGAAAGAGATTCAAAACTTAAGAGGTTGTTTAGTTTGAGAAAATATTTTCAATTAATTTTTACCTTTTTTTTTAAAACAATTATATAAAAAATGAGAACGACAAAATAAAAAAAAATCTCAATATTTTAGTCATCCTTTTAAACACAAGCTTCTTTTACTTTGTTTGCATTATTGTAGGTGTTTTTCGTTACCGCGAAATGAGCAATTAATGTTAATTTGTATATATGCCTATAACTGTATTACAAGTTCCATCATATGACATTTTCTTAAGTTCCATCATTAACCATTTGCCAAAAATAACTGCATGTTTCCATTGATTAAAATCAGTAGAGCATGTCATTTACATGCAAGATTATCCACTTGCATTATGTGGCCTTCGCCTATGATGCTTTTTTGGCAAACGTCAAATTTGAAGGGCACGTGACATACAAGAATGAAAAGTTATCGAACTCATAACACTGTTTCTGACATACATAAATAGATATAGGCCACGTGGTTTATGCTTTGAACACGCACCATACATATCACAACCATAACGGTGTCATGCATGCGATTTATCTTGTAAAATGATGCAGCATCCATGGTGGGATATTGAGGGTGGTGGTACAAGGAACTGTTCGTGCTTCAATCACTTCCACCAGAGGTGCTGCTGCTCGTAAAGTCTCTCTGCACCATTGTTTTGACACTTTTTTTTTAATATGTGAAACAATATAATTTATGTACGTATGATAAGATTGTCCTAGCTACTGATTATATATGGTGCAGAGTGTAGACCCTAGCATACATTTGGTGCAGGTTGCTTATAATTATGCGGTTCTATGCATGTATATATGCTGAATATAGCTACTTTAGTAAAGTACTATGTGAGTTAATTTCATTTAAAACACGTTGTTTTTTATTATTGAAGTACGTTGCTAACTTTCTAATGCATTTATACAGTAAAATAGATTAACAGTTATTTAACTATCATAAAAATTATGATAATGATGACAAGTTCAAACATAAAATTTTGTGAATAATTAACTAATTAAACTACTCAAACAATTTAAAAATTTGATACACAGCAAAGGAGAAATGGGATATGGAAGGGATAGTGTGTAGCTGTTGATTAGTGTGTTTATATGTGTTATATCCAATGCTAATTAACATAAGCTCTTTTAGCTAATGACATCATTAAACTAAGTCAAAATCGGCACAAACTTGGTATAAACTGATCAACTTGGCTGGACGAATTTCTCCGTGGGTTAGGCATAAAAAAATGCAACAAAGTTATTGATGACATGGTGTGCAAATTAAGAGTTGATCATCCATATATTATTAGTGTAAAGTTTTTTATACCGACAACCAATCATATTTTTTAAATTATTTTATTTTATTTTTATTTCATTAAATAAACAACTGACATGACACTATTTAAAGATATGATTGGTTGCCGGTATAAAAAAACTTTACACTGAGAATATATAAGTGATTAACTCGCAAATTAATAATGGATAATGAAAATTTAGTTGACCACCAAAACACTTAGACTTTTATGCAGATGTTTGGAAAGCATAATGTATATATATACATATAGACATACACCTGGCCACTAAACTAAATGAAAAAAAAATTTCTCTAAAATGTGAATTAGTTTAAATGTATGCATAAGTTAATATGGGCGAAATTTATTTGACTTTATCATTTTACGTTTTCCTCGATCTTATAAGGCTTTGCAGAAAAATTCATTTAAACAGGACTGATGTGGATATTTGCAATGTGGGTGGAACAGAAATAGTCTTGAACAGAAACAGACTTGTTACCAAAAATTAATAAGGATCTAATTATGTGTGTAAAATTTTGTTTTTCATTCCATTATCCTGAAATGTTTTTTTACATTAATTCAAATATTTGGCAACACAAATAAAAACAAATTAAAACAATGAACTTCTGCATATCTTCTTAGGTTGTCTAAATTACTTGGGGACTACATATATCACCACGGCACTTCTCATAGAATAATAATAATAATAATAATAATAATAATAATATCACCATGGCACTGGGTTTTGATCTCTGTTGTCATTTTAAAAAAAAAATATTTATAAGAATCGAATTTTGTACTAAAAAATTTATTATATATAACACACTATAAAAGCAACTGAATTAGAATCTCTCCATTTTCTGTTATCATTTAACAAATTATGAAATTATTGAACTATATAATTCATTTACTTCTAGTGAATCTCACGTTTCATCTTCTAAAACGCACCCCACAATTAGGAGTTAAACCCTATAACACCTTTTTAATAATAAAGGGGTTTAATTTGTTAGTTAGGTTAACAACTTAGTATCTCTAGTTCGACTGTAATCTTTGCAATTAAAATCTTAGAGTGGGACATGACAATTCAAATGTCCCTTCCAGTACTTTAATAGCTTATATGCAGAATTGAACCAGCAAAAATATTGAATCATGATTTGATTGATTAAACCAGTTAAGCTCCTATTGGTTTTAAATATTACAAATTCAACCTTTTCACTTTCAAATGAAAAACACATTTTGTTAATCCATATTTCAGTCAGATTGAGTGACTCAAAATCAATTTCATCTAGCTAAGTCAATTATACAAATTAATTCCTAAACCAAATGAGCACTAATCTGTATGTACCAGCTGAACCTTGATTAAAACATAAATGCTGGATGGATCATATTTAAACAGACAATGCATTTCAACTTGGCAGTTGAGTAACAATATTTATAAAATATTTGTTCCAATCCATGCATGTAATGCATGCATGATGTTAATGCATAGAAGAGAGATGAGAAAAATACCCGATTGATAAAGAAGGAACTAGTACTCTTTGTTGTGGTTGTAACTCTGGAGGGCATGTTAGACCTAAGGTTTCTTGCCCGCAGTTTGCACGTTCAGCCACTTCCTTCCCTTTCTCCTTAATCTATAATCATAAATGTAAGAAATTAAAGTTAACTTTATTTTCTCATCCTTTCTTGTCTACTGAACACTCATAAATTGGTGGCACATATTATATATATAGTCTCTACCTTCTTTGCAAGCTTGCCATTTTGCTCTTGCAATTCTTTTGCCTGTCACATGTAGAACAGAAAGTTATATAGATATATTTAAATTTGTAGGTTAATTTATGAATTTAGTCACAATATCCAACACTGTTTTCATAAATTTGGAAACAATATTAATCCCTACTGATTTTTAAAGCTATCTCAGTGTTAGAATTTTTTCAATTAGCAACAAAAAAAATAAAATTTAAGTGTAGGGATCAAAATGTAGAATTAATGTTTTCTCTAAGAAAAATGATAGATCGTCTGAAAAGAGTTTCAAAAATTATTTTGAATAATAAAATATTAATTTAAACTATAAAATATTAAATTAAATAATTATTTTATAATAAATTTATTATAAAATATTAATATTTTAACATTTTAAAAGATAGTTCAGAAGTTATTTTCGGAGAATGAATCATTTCTCTAAGGTAAATGTTGTATGTTCCAAACATCGAAAAATCCTCCAACCTTTTAAACTTCAATATTCTGAGTAAAAATAATAATTTAGTGTACCTCTTTTGATAACACCAGAAACTTGTATTTTTATTCCTAATTGTGTTTATACATGAATTTTGCAATCAAAAGAAAATGAACTACTCTTTGATTACAAGGAGAAATTAATTTAACAAACTTTAGTAGCAAAAAAATAAAGTCAAAGAAGAAAGAAAATAGAAAATAAAGCAATATCCAATAATTACTTTTAGGAGATTATGTCATCCAAAGGGAAGTTCAAATCAAACTAGTACATATTATCTTTTGAAGAAGTGACATTAACGTCAGTTCACATGAAACTCAATGTCAGACTGTATATCGTACCGATTCATGAAGTTTGCTTGTGGGAGATAAGATGGAAACAGAGGAGAGATTAAAAAAATAGAACAAGAAAATATAATAAAATTGATAAGTGACGTGATGAAAAAAATTGAATCTAGATAGGAGAGAAAATAATGTATATGTTAAATGTTTTCTAATAAAAAAAGTTATCCAAAGTTAGGAAAAAATATGTTTTCTGGTATGTTATTATGTTTTCTAACCTTCTCTTAATATTAATTTGTCTTTTGAACCAATAATTCCTTCAAGTGTACAAACCAATTATCGCAGCTATTTTTTTTGAGTTTGGGAGTCTTATTATTCATTTATTCATCTTCAAAAACCGTACGTGTAGCTTAGGATACCATTGAGCACCCACACTTGAATATATGAAACATTTTATTGAACTTTCTAGCCTTACACGAATTGCTAATTAAGTACTGTTATAGACACACACGATACTTCTTGACTAAATATTATAATGAACTTAATTAACCACAAATTATTCAATGCACTTATTGATCACTACGTAAATATAGGAATAAAATTTGAATGCTTTTTAAAAGTTTTTGAAATTATTCTCTAATTTGAATTAAAATTTCATCTATGCTGAACTTTAATTCAAAAACTTTATTAATTAGATTACCCAAGTAAATTTTCAATAATGATTAAAAAACAAAGCTAATATCAGATAATTAACTTGATCTAAGTTTTATCCGTACTCGAAATCTACAAATACACAAAGGACAAAACATGTATACGCAAATACATGAACAATAGTGCATGCATGGAGTTTTTTTTATATTGATTTCCACTTTCCAATGCTGACAAATGTTAAGAGAATATCCAATAGTAACCCGTTACCTTTTTCTGGAGATATGAGATGGATTCGTTCATAACTTGATTCTGCAAGAATCATAATGATCGGTTAATTGAAGATTATCAGCAACAAAAAAAATGGTATATATGCAAATGCAAATTTAATTTTCAAACTGCATTTTCCCACGTGTTTTAATTTTCTAATTTTTGGCAGATGATGAAGCAGCAATTTACCTTTCTAGTTCGGATGCGTTTTATAGCTGTGTCAAGCTGATGCTCCAAACTCTGAAGCTCTCTCAAGCTCAAGGGATCCAAATCTTGTCCCACAAAGTTCCTATACATTGAACATATTATAAGCTATATTTGTAATTAATTTTCATAAAACTAAATGGTTTTGAAGCATCTAAACATTAAAAAAAAAATTATTTAATAATGACATGCATCATATAATGACATAATATTTATTATTAAAAATTATTTTTAGATATTATAAATATATTATATATTGATATATTATTAAAATATAAATATAATTTATAATGATACAGAATATCTATGTTTAAATTTTATTCAAAATTTAACAATAAAATTATGTATAATTGTATGTCGGATATATTTATATTTATAAACGACATTCATTTTTATTTATAAGGTTTAACTTAAAACAATTTTTTTTATTTAAATAAAATTAAATTTATATTATCTTATATATTTATTATTTTTAGTCTAAAATATTCATAATTAAAATATATTATCTTAACTTAATAATAAAAATGTATTAATTATAAATTCTTTAAAGAACATACACTCTAATTGGTTAGAAGAAAAATGAATATTAATTTAGAGAAATAAATAATATATGATATACATTCTAATTAATTAAAAGAGATATAAATATTAATTAGAAAAAAAAAAGTAATATAAAAATAGATTAAAGAGAGAGAATATATATATATATATATATATATATAAGATAAATTTATTATTATAAACTAAATTCACTATGTTTCTTAATATTGGTGATCTAAATAATTAAGTTTTATATATATAAAAATAAAAATAATATATTATATTTATAATAACACTTTTATATTTTGTATAGTATATGTAATATTTTTTTTACGGTGAAAGCTAATCCTTTCCATATGTCTACATTTGCCCCAGTTAAAAAACAAGCTCACACTTTTCATGGCCAAAGAAATTTGACACAACCATCTGAAAGGATGGAAGTAAAACTTAAAATTACTCATTGTCTAATTTGAAGGTGCAATATGTAAGGACAAAACTTCCATCCAATGCTATTCTCCAATTATGGAATCTTAAATTACGCATAGTATTAAAATAAAATTTTATTTCTAATAAGAAAATAACACAAACAATACATATATATATATATATATATATATAATATTTTATCTAAGCTTATATGTGAAATGAAGAGGAAAAACAAGGAAACCGTTGCATAAAAAAGACCTTGGTGTCAAATCAGCTCTTGATTTTGGAAAAAAAAAAATATGGTTGAAGCACATATATGTACCTTAAGTTCCTCTCTAAGACCTCAACTTTTCCGGTGAGCTTGAAGCATTGCAAGGACCAGTTTCCCT